TGCTTTGAAGCGCTTTCGCCAAAATGCGCGTTAAAAAAAATAATCGAGTGTTTAAAAGAAAAAAAAGAGAAGATATACGCGACGATTCACGGCAATATTTATAGGGCGAAAGGGAGGTAAGCGACCGGGTTAAACCGATGAGACGCTTCGCTTTAAACGAATTCGCCTCCAGCGAGCCGATCACTGCTAGCTTCTTCTTGTTTGATCCCGAGATTTTAATTTCGTATAATTTCCAAGTAATAGAATTGCTATTACGATAAATTTCAGAAATTCTAGAACAAAGTTTGAAACAGATAAGATAAGATGGAAATAAGAGAGTTATTCGAATAATTATAGAATACAACAAGATTTTAATTTTTCTATGGGAGAAGATAATTGGATAAATTAAATTTTGAAACAGAGAGAAAGAGAAAGAAAATTATTTTAATTTGGGCTAAGATGAGATTCCTCGTAGAAAAATTAAATTATATATTTTACATAACGTTTAAAATTAACGTGATAACAAAGTAAAGCTCCTGTAATTCGGGATACAGGAATTTCTCTTGTTCTCCTCTTTCCTAGTTTCAAAACTAAACAACTATGTGTTCTAAACAAACGAAATTTCGATATACCATCCAAACTTTCCACGTTCTTCCCCAATTTCAAATTAATACCACGTATACACACTATGTAATATCCGATCCATCCACTTAATTATTTACTTCTTCTACTTCTTTTTTCGCTCCTCGAATATTCGAACTCTTATATTTTTCTGAAAACGTATCGTATATTATATAAAAGCTGCCAAACTCATTTCTCGTTCCTCCCACGATTAAAGGAGCAACAACAACTTATGTATGTTTTATCGATGCTAGACGACATTACGAAACGTATAGCAGAGAGATTGCGGCCTCGCTCACGCGTTATATTGTGATACCAAGATGATATCTGTCTTACGTCACCACCTTAAAAATCTTGTTTTTACAATATCTGTAACGTAATTCTGATCACTCAACACGAACGATCGCGAGTTACGATATCCAGGATCTTTATTGATCAGAAATTTGAAATTTTTCACGCAAATTTCGTTCGTAAGACTCGTGAGCTTGGCAACTCGATTATCCGTTTTTTGATGGAAGGAGAAAATGAATAAAAGAGGGAGGGGGAAGAGGTATAATGGAGAGAATAGTTGTTCCAATTCGTTTTCTTTTCTACTTGTTTCGAAATTCTAACCGAATTGTAATGGTTAGGGTGTACGTATGGTGTATAAGTGATTTCTTTCAAAGTATGTTAATCGTCGTCAGTCGAATCGAGGTTGAAAAACGTACTGCTTGGTACAAAGGTAAATGAATTATGAGAGATCCTTGAATCCATTTAAACGAGGATGAGTAGTCGTGATGGAGAAGCTGCAATTTTTCCATTCGAGAGAATAGGAAACTATTTGATTAAGAAATCAGTATAAAAGTGAAATTGAAATCTTTTTTTCGAAAATAGGAATATATCTATTTTAAGAAGGAAATGAAAGCTGGAATCGGGGGTGAAACGACGGAGATAAAATAAAAATTCTTCGTTCACTGAAAAACTTCCTCTTTACCCACGATAAAGAAAAAAAGAAAAATTCAACCTTCCTCTTCGACGTGTCATCGCTCATCGCCCGCTTTGTTTTCTTTCATCATCCTCGTTTCCTCCCCTCGCAAAGAAGAAAGAAGTCGAGGAACGTTTTTAAACGTGTAAAAAAATACAAAACAACGATCACGGCCGCGAATTAATCAGCATGGAATTTACGTAGATGCCACCGCGAGATTGCAACGCACAATCTTCGTTTAATCGTCAGGATTACACGCTCATTTCTCATCCATTATAAAACGATAAAAAGCGATTATGATTCGCGATGAATCCTCGAATCGGGAAAAATTATAAGCGCGAGAGGAAACGTGGAAGGAAATGGATGGAAGAAATAACGAAATAACGTGGGCTCGTGGGTCGAGTGGGAGAAAGAAAGAAGAATTCTCGATCGAAAATATAACGAAATTGATTATTAATCCGTGCGCGGTTTTGTAATTGAGGCGAGTGAATTCGAGGAAAGGAAATAAGATGAACTGAAATTCAAACGATTCGGTTGAATGATATTCCGTTATTATAGAGTGGATCTCAATTATGTATTTCGTTATAATTTTCTATTGATTCTGTTCTTGAGAAGGATCTTTAAGATGATGACTTACGTTTACAGTAAATTTTCGAAATAATTGTTTCGTGCAATCTTGTAATTCTTTCTGATTAATTATATTTGATAAAAAGAAGAATTTTGTAGACTCAGAGATTGTGAAATTAAAAAAAATTCTAACATCTATGAAAAAGAAAATTAAATAGTGTTTTGTGTTAGATAATTCTATACATTAAAATAAAATTTCTACAATATTCTTTTATATTTGCGCATATTTGTCTTCTCTTTTTGAAATTTAATAATAAATAATGCTTGAATTTTTTCGAATATATATCAATATATCAGGATAGAACAATTCAAAGATGACAATGATAAAATTTATAACTTCATAAATATTCAGAGTACTATCCATATTCATATTATGTTTCCTATTCAGGTTCGTAAAAAATTTTTTGCAATATCTACAATCCAATTTTTTCACATCGAAAAAATTCTTCCATTATTTAATCTTTCACTTTACAAGAAAATTAGCAGAAAAGCTATATTTTTTAATTATTATTAATAATTGGAATAATAAAAACAATATTCCCCTGTATCCTTTAAAAAATTCGATTCTGTAATACGGAATGTATATGGAATGATTGATTTAGAAAAAAAAAAAAAAAAAGAAAGAAAAAAATCAAAACATTCATCCTCCAATTACACAATCGAAAATCCATGATACAGATCGAAGAAGAAAAAACTCGTGAAATCCGCGTATACATCCGTTGCTTACTAAATCGAGAATGTTTATGAAGCGAAGAAATCGCGATAAAAAAAATAATTCGATCGAGAAAAACGATAAAATAATTTTCTGAATCACGTTATGTCGGCTGGTGCTTTCAGTGATTTCGTAAAAAGTTGTCGATCCGGTTGTTAAGTCGTATATAGACGATCCAGAAGCGGATCTATACAGAATCTATAGAGACTCGATCGAGGTCACGATCACTTTAACGGTAGTTTTCTGGGGACAATTGCTTTTAACCGTGAAACCGTATGTAATCGAAAAAAAAATCTTCCACGTATCGATCGCGTTACAATTATTTCAAATTTAATGCGATTCCGTGCGATTTTTCGAAAAATTCGGGGAATTCTCGATCTCGTGAGATTTCGATCGAACAATTTCGTTTCGTGTTCTTTCTTTCTTTCTTTCTTTCTTTTCTTTTGTGTCTCTTTTTCTCTCCGTTCACGCACACCTTTTGACATTTTCTCCACTGGAAATATATTCAACAGAGGCGAGAAGGCATAGCGATGGAAAAGGGTGTGAATATCGAGGAATTAGATGAGTCAGAATTATCAGATTAATTGTAATAAATTGAGAGAAAGCAATATAAGAAATTTTGTTTAAATTATAAATTTTTTATTTTACATTTACTTTTACTTTTAATTTTATTCACATTTCATAGTAGAATTTTAATAATTATTGCCCGATGCCTTCTCCTTCTTAATTGCTAATTAATTATAAATAAATTATCGAACAATTAACATTAAAATAAAAGTTATCTTGGACGTTAAATATTTCGTAAGAATAATTATTTGTTTCTAAAAATAGGAAGAATAGAATTAGTGGGAGATGATGGGAGGGGGGGAAATCGAAAGTAACATTCTAATTTAGTAATTCTGGACCGTGTAATGAATCATTGTGACGTATGTATTCTTGATAATTTGCGTGAATACACGAATAGTGGTGTAATAGACGTGAAGAGATTCTTAAAGACTCGGACAAACCGTTCTCCCCATTATATTTTATTCACAACAAACCTGTTTGAGGCAATAATAATTGTAATCCGACATTCCTCGAGTAGGCTGTAGAAAAACTTGCGATGCAATTAGTATGAATACATTAACATAGAACTAAATTAAGAAACAATTTTTAGATTTCTTGTTTGATTATCAATATTATATCTTTTACTAATAAACTGATCAAATGTCAACAGGTAGAAATACTATATAAATTTTTTATATTTGAAAAGTTGATTGTAAACTAGGAAAAATATACGACTATCTTCGTATAATAATAATATCTTAGTATATAATAATAATATATATTATCTTTCACTTATTACTGGTAAAATATTAATTATAATTAAAGAAAATTATTAATTTTTCTTTCTTGTTTTATTTTTTAATTGCACAGATATCGGTTCACTACGTGTTATAATTTTATATTTTGTATAATTATTCTTGATATCGATTGCAATAATTAAAAATCAATTGACGATTGTAAAGTTCGTGCTTTCCCAGAGAAAATAAAATGAATTTTATCTTATTTATCTTATTTTTATCTTATTTGTTTAAAAAATAAATAAAGAAAGAAAATAAAGAAAGATATTTATTCCCCTCACGATAAACTCTGATATTTATACTAATATTTTACACATTTTATCTTATTTCATTCTTATTCTACATCTCTTAAAGAATAAATTTTGTTTTTAACAAAAAAGCGATACAGATACATCAATCTTTAAAAACTATAAAAAATGATGCCTGACCCAAAAACTGATTATATACATTTAAGATAATAATTTTTTATACTAGTACATTATAATCATAATGAAATAAAATAAAATAAATAATTGGAATAAAAAAGAAATAATTCCTCCGTTAAAATTGTTCCCAGAAAATTTTCTCGAATCAAATTTCAAAGAATCTTCTAATAAGATATTTCTACAAAACTCGCTACCAAATAATTTCCTCGATACTTTATAAAACTATATAAACACGATCGCGCAATACCAAATGGGGATTGCAACGTGGAATAACGAGAGAAATGAAAAATGAATATAAATGTAAACCAAGAATAAATTATTCTACTCACTTCTAGAGGGACGAGTCGGTCGACACGAGAGACAGTCAAAACCTCTTCGAAGTAACTCCATTCAATCGGCACCAAGGAACTTCACCCGCGGCGCCTCTCATTCCTTCCGTTTCCACCGCGAAGAGGCGCGCGAAGATCATTAACGAGCCGGCATTCCGCTTCTTACCTCTTCCACCCCCCTCTCTTCCAATATGTATATACTTTATTCGAAAAAAATTTCGCGAGAAAAAAGTTCGAAAGATGATGATACAGAAATGTTTAAGTATTCGATATCGAGAAATGTAGGCAACGATCTCGAAAACCGGATGTAGAACCCAGACGAACTTTCTTCTCTCCCGATTATACCGTGGCAGGTAGCCCGGCCTTCGAGACAACCTCGAAGATTTTTATTTTTCCCACTGTTCCTTCCAATTCTCCCGCCCCGATCTTTACTTCGAGTTCTTCCACTTTTTTTTCCCCCTCCGCCTATCTTTCTTTCTCGTCTCGAGTAATGCACGATACACGAGATAAAAATAGTCGGGATTATTTTGGGGAGCGTGCGTTTTAATTTACGACTTCGGGAAAACGAAGCAATAATATCACGATTAATTTCGAATATTTGAAAACTTCTATTTTTATCTATCTCTATCTATATATATTCTATTGAATATGAATCCTTCTTCTTCTTCTTCTTCTTCTTCTTCAACTACATACAAACACTAAATTAAACTCGTCGAAAATCCCTTTTATAAACAATGTCCAACAGTCTTCTCCGCAATATAGTGACCATAAAAACTGCACAATCCGTCACAATTCACAGAAATGTTCCTCACTCGGAATTCTCAGAATCATCAACAAATATCGGTGAAAATATTTATAATCTGTAACCTGTTGCACGTTGTTCCTTCTATATACGTCGTAGAAAACACGAAAACACGAAAAACACACGCGAAAAAACCACGTAGTACGATAATATGTAATAGGAAAAACGGAAAAGCGTTTTCCCTCCTTCGTGGAATTTTTCTACGTTGTCGAAAATCTCTTTGTTCGAAGGGATGTACGGATGAGACGAAGGGAAGGGGGTGCTCGTTCGAAACTCGAACGACAACAATTCGAGACGCACGAGAGACACGCGCTCCACGACGGACGCCCCGCGACTGACTGCCGACAGACGCCGAACGAAGACTTTGAATAGGGGCCGTTTGGGGGTCGTCGCGCTGGAATGGAGGGAGAGGGGAGGGGAGGATCGGTCGACTTACGTGGCGTTACGGGGTGGGAGATGCCCGTGGGACCCCATGGACACTGGGAACAGATGGGATTATATACAGGGTGAGTCGTTTCG